GGGGGGTAGGAGGCGGGAGACTGAGAGCTGGACACGGAGGGTAGCAGGTGAGACCGAGAGCTTGCCGCGGTGGTTAGCAGGTGGGGAGACCGAGAGATGGACACAGGAGCGGGTAGCAGGCGGAGTCACTGAGGGAAGTGCACTCAAGTACTATTTTGGTGGAGGGACATGAGCAAGACCCCAAATCATGCGGCAGAGAAGGAATGAATGGAAGAACAATGGAGAAAGGAAGCAGCCACTGCTCTTTCCAGTTTTACTCTAAAAGGGAGCAAAGAAGGGGCCAGTAGAGTGCTCTGGCCACGGTCACCAGCGATCTGTGTCCAGTCGACTGCATACCCTCAGCCTTTATGTTTTAGGTTCACAGTAAAAGCGGCAGAAGGTACAGAGATTTCCCTTTTACCTCCTGCTCCCACGGCGTCCCTCTATCAAGCCCATGCCAGAGAAGTGTACTAGTTGTAGTTATAAACATACATTGACACGTCTTATCACCCCATGTCCATAGTTTTCATTAGGGTTCACTCTAGGCCTGCCTTCAGTGGCTTCGGACAGTTGTGCTGACATGTGTCCATCCTCACACTGTTACACAAAATGGCTTCACTGGCCTGAGCATCCCCTGTGCCCGGCCTGCCCGGCCATCTCTCCCCACTACTCCTCGCACCACTTTCCTTCACTCTCTCCACACATTTTGCCTCTGCAGAATGTCGTATGTTTGGAAATAAACAACACGTCTCCTTTTCAGATCGGCTTCTTTCACCTGGTACTGTGCATATGAGGTTTATCCATGTCTTTTCTTGGCTTGATAACTCACTTCTTTTTAGTACTGAGTAATATTTTATTGCCTGGATATACCACAGTTTATTTTTTCACCCAATGGTGGACATGCTTGGTTACTTTCCAGTTTTGACAGTTATATATAAAGCTATAGTAACATCCTTTTGCAGACTTCCGTGTGGACATACATTTTCAGCTCATCTGGATAAATATCAAGAAGCACGATTGCTGGTTATATGGTTAGACTGTGTTTCACTTTGTAATACATTTTCCAGCTGTCTTCCAAAGTGGTGCACCATTTTGCATTCTCCCCACCAATGTTGAGAGTTCCTGTGGGTCCACATTCTCACCAGCATTTGGTGGCATCAGTGTTTTGGATTTTGGCCACTCTAATAGGTGTGTAGTAGTAACTCATCCTTGTTTTAATTTGTAATTCTCCAATGGCATGTCTTTTCATATGTTTATTTGACATCTGTATATATCTTTGGTGATATATCTCATCAGATGTTTTGCCCATCTTTTATTTGGATTATTTTCTTATTATTGAGTCAGTTTTAAATATATATATATATTTATTTATCTATTTATGTGTTGTGATTTGTAAGCTGCCAGATCCAGGACTTGAACTGCACTCGGCCATGTGGGAATCTAGTGCTTTAACCACCACACCACCTGCTGGCCTCCAGGGCATTTTTCAGCTGCTGGGTCTGAGATTTGAATCATGGTCAGCCTTGTGGGATCTGGCTCCCTTAACCACTGGGCTACAGGGCCAGTCTGTACTCTTTACTTTCTGAAACACTTTTTCCTTCATTGCTTCTGAGACCATCTCTGGTTTTCCTCCTGTTTTCTGGGTGCGACTTCTGCCTTCTTTCCAGATTTCTCTTTCTCTATTCAATCTTTTAACTTTTTCTTCTTTATGTCATCCTTTGAACCGTCTTATTGACTGCCGTGACGTCAGTGCTCACTGTGATGATGTGTTCCCAAGGAACTTTTTGGTCCAGACCTCACCCCTGGGATCTTGGGCTACATATCTAGTCATTTGTTATCATTACCTTCTTTTTCGTTTCTTTTTTCTGTCATTGTTGTTTGTTTGTTTGTTTGTTTATTTGGAGAGGTTTTTGCTATAGGGCATGTGCACTCACCAGAAAGACAGAAGGTGAGAAATGATCCCCCAGGGGGGATGGCCACGCCAAAATCCCTTCTCCTCCATTCTCCTCTTGGGATCTTGGGCATGCATGCACATGCGCCTGGTGTGAGTTTAAGCCACCGGGTCTGGGACTCGAACCACAGTCAACTACATGGAAGTCCAGTAACATAGCCATTACGCCAACTGCTGGTCCCCTCTTTCTTGTTTCTTGAAGTCACGTGAATGGAAACATTTTCCAAATGAACTTAATAGCCCCCTCCCTGATTTTGCTGTTTTATGTTCCCTGTCTTAAGTACTTAAGTGTACTACTTAACCAAGGCAGAAATAAACCTTGATTCCCCCTTGTCTCACCCCACACCACCACAATCGATAAGTTACCAGATCCCTTAGATTCAGCCCCCTCCACCCCGTGGCCACGTCCACAGGCCCCACTCTCACCTCAGTGCACCATGGCCCTCCCACATCCCTGCCCCAGCCAGCATCGACTCTCTAAGCCATTCTTCACATTGCTGCATGAATGCTCTTTCTAAAACAGACGTTTAAAAACAACAAAAAAACATACCTCTTCCTACACACATAAACCTAATCACATCATTTTCAGCTTGAAAGTTTCCAGTGTTTTGCTCCTTGATGTGGCTGAAGTCCTGACTTTCAAACACCATTTACCATAATAATGAAAAGTGCATTTTATACTGTGGCCCAGACCATGCATGGGTGCATAGAATTGAATAGGAGTTTCTTGTTTTTGTATCTAAAACAAAACTGGATCGTCCTACAGCCTGGTGGCTGACTGCTGGACCTCAGATGGCCCAACTGCGAGGTTCAAGTCTTGGATGTGGTAGCTGGAAAAACATATCCAGCATATGTGCCAAACATGCCAAAAGGAGGGACAGGAATTGTGGTGTGACCATACCCCACAGGGGGTGCTTTCTCACCTTTCCTTCTTTCTTTCTCTGTGTCTCTCTCCAGCGAGGACACATGCCCTCTAGCCAAAAAAGAAAAGAAAAAAAGAAAAGAAAAAGCTTCATCATAGTTTAGTGATTAAGGGAACAGGATCCTACGTGGCCAACCAGGTCTGAGCCCTGGCCCCAGCAGCTTGATACACCCAGCACGTGTACACGTGCGCTCAGAGCCCTGAGAGGGTGGAGCAGTAGAGAAGGGACTGTGACATGACCATGCCCCATTGGGGAGGGCTTTCTCCCTCTCTCCATATTTCTCTGTCTCTCTCTGGTGAGTGCCCCACCTCTAGCAATAAATAAAAAGAAAATATACTATGTGCATTGTACTCCAATATATTTTATTCTATTAAAAAATGCTGATTATAACTTACTAAGTTGACCTCCTGATGGCTGTTTGAAAAACAGTGCCACAGAAATGCCTCTGTCCTGGCTCCTGCCCATCTCTTCAACCCTAACTCCCCGTTCTACAACCAGTCACCCCCGTTTTCTTCCAGTTCCCTGAGCGGTGCTGTTTCTAGAGCATTTCCCTCTGCCCGGCCCACTTCGCCCACTCCTGTATCCTAGAATCCAGAAGAAGAATTTAGGTGGACTAGAAGTGAAAATCTATATGCTTCAGGTCTCTGAGCTTCCTTCTACGGCGGTACTAACTGAACACCATGCTGTGATTACTTCTTTCATTGTCTGTCTCCCATGCCAGACAGTGAGTTTAGAAAAAGTGCAGACAACACATGTCTTTTTCACGGCTGTTGGTAACGTGGCATAACTTTTGGCACATAGTAGGACTTAGGAAGTAGTAAGTCTGTGTCAGAATCCTCTTTAACTTTCCATCCCTCCCCCCAGAGGCTTCCATTTACTCTTCTTTTTAAAATTAATTTACTTACAGTCATTCACTGTACACAATACACTATACAAAATGAAGTTTTCCATCCAGAATACATTGTATATTGGCTCGATCAAGAATATAACCATGCATGTTATCATCAACAAATAACTTTCTACTTTTTGTTTCTTATATATATTTTACCCCCTTGATTCCCTACCTCTCATTCTCTGCCAACTCCCCGCCTTCTCCCACACTGGTATACATTCCACATCTCTGATAGGTACAGTTGTTTTCCATGCCTTTTTTTTTTCTTCACATTTTATTGATTCACTAATGTTATTTTGTTTTTGTTTTGGGAGAGATTTTTGCTATAGGGTGTGAGTTTAAATCATGGGGTCCAGGACTTGAACCATGGTCAACTACATGGGAGTCCAGTGACATAGCCATTACGCCATCTGCTGGTCCCAAGTCACTAAAGATCTTAATTAATTTAAAGACATTTTTTTGGAGAGGTTTTTGCTATAGGGTGCGTGCGTTCACCAGACAGAGAGAGACAGAGAGAGAAAGTGAGAAATTACCCCCCAGCAGGATGGCCACGCCGCAATCCCTTCTCCATTCTCCTCTCAGGATCTTGGGCACACACACACATGTGCCCACCGTGAGTTTTAAGCCACCGGGTCCAGGACTCGAACCACAGGCGACTACATGAGAGTCCAGCGACATAGCCATTACACCAACTGCACAGCTGATACATAAATATTTATGAACCCATGTCTGACTTTAGGTGTAAATGTTAGTGAGTAAAGTGAACAAAATATAAAGTAGCACCTTGCTGGGGCTATAGCTTACTTCAGTCAGTAACTAGGTATTAATAGGTATTTTTAATGCATTTTTTAATATTAAAAGTTTTAGTTTTAATAGGTCAAAATCAAAATAAGTTAAGAGAAATTTGCTTAAAACTTAAAGCCAGGACAAAGGTTAGGATTCAGTTCAAATAGAGGTAGATGACCCTATCAACAGTTTAAGAGAAGAGGGTGGCTGCAGCGCCCTCTCCCTCCTGGCCCCTCACTGCTCCTAGACTCCGCCCATGGTCGAGCCCCTCAGCCTCCTACTATTACTGGTTTCGGATGCCAGGCTTGTGCCTTAGTAAGAAAACGCCTCACTGGAGATACTCAAGCAAAGGCTGGACAGCTACTTTCTCAGAACAGAAAGGAAACTCATGCATCAAAAAAAGGTGACTAATGAACATACCACAAGAATATGGCTGCACAGATACCAGAATCTGATCAGATGAAACAGTTTAGGGAATTTCTTGAAACCTACAATAAACTTCCAGAAGCATGCTTTTTGGACTGCGTTAAGGACTTTACAACAAGAGAAGTAAAACCCGAAGATATCACCAGTTCAGAACATCGCTTAAAGAAGTATCTAAAAACGACACAAAGAATACCCATGAGATTCCAGGAATATCATATTCAACAGAATGAAGTCCTGGGCAGCTGAAGCAGGACCTCATGGCCAGCCACGGTAGAGAGGCCTGGATGGATGGACGATCGGTGAAAGCGTGCCAACAGCTACTGCACAGGAAGTGAGGATTCGTCTGATAGAATCCCCGAAAGCAGTAGTCACCATGTTTAACTGTCGATCATGACTGTTTGGCAAATGGAAACCACTGGAGAAACAAAATCATATACCAAGGATAATCAAATTAGAAGGTCTTATTGTTAAGTGAAAATAATACAATGAAACTTCTGTTGAAGCCTTAAGACTCGGCAGCTTGGTCACTTGATTATAAAGATAAACCATTTTTTCTTCAATCGTGACTGCTAATTTTAAAGCAAAATATGTGTTCAATCATGTGAGATAGAAACAAATTTATTACCAAAAGTGAAATAAATGGAAATATCACTGGAGAAAAGCAGTTTAAGAGAAGACAAAAATCCTTAAATATGGAAATGAAAGCATCAAAGAAATCAGTAATGTTTTAGTCTAAAGTAAAAACATTCTATTTTACTAGTTCAGACACACATACTTAATTTTTCTTCTATTGAATTTGCAGAGTTACTGTGGTCTGATCTGTCCATTTAAACTCTGAAAGTTAACATTCAACTCCCTACCATGAGGCTGGCCATTCTCTAGGTTGTTTCTTGTACTCTTAGTTCTGTGTGTTTGACTTTAGTTTTCCTGGCATAGCACTCCCTGCAGCACTTCTTGGAGAACTGGTCTGGCATTGGTAAATTCTTCCAGGTTTTGTTTATCTGAGAATGTTTTTGTCTTTTTTCCCTAACTGAAGGATAATCTTGCTGGGTATAGTATTCTTGGTTGAAATTGTTCTTCACTTAACACTTTGAATGTATTTTCCCATTCTTTCCTTGTTTGCATTGTCTCTGATGAGAGGTCCGACATTAGCCTTATGGTGTATCCTTTGAAAGTAACTTGAGGTTTCTTTCTTGCCAATTTTAGTATCTTGTCTCCGTCTGTGGTTTTGGTCAATCTGGCTATGATGTGCCTTGGGGAAGATCTTCTTGGGTTGATTCTATGTGGGGTCCTTTGTATTTCTTGGGTCTGGATATTTAAGTGCCTCTCTAGGTTTGGAAAGTTTTCTTCCAGGATTTCATGGAATAGATTATCAATGCCCTTATTAATTTCTTCACCTTGTGGGATACTGATGATGCAGATGTTTGGGTGTTTAATTGTATCTAGTATTAATCATATGTTATTCTCATTTTGGGGGGTTATTTTCTCAGTCTTTTTGGTGAATTTTTCTAGGTCAGAGGTTCTATCTTCTACATCTGAGATTCGATCTCCTACGTGATCTAATCTGCTTTTAATATTTTCAATGGAAGCTTTGATTTCCTGTATTACAGCCTTCATCTCTAATAATTCCGTTTGATTCTTTTTAATAATATGTATTTCCTCTTTCAGATCATGCAAGAACTTCTCTCCTCCTGGAACTCGGTGTTTCTTTTCTCCTGCATCTTCTGGAGTTTGTTGTCTATTCTCTTGCATCTCTGTTAGCTTTGCCACTATGAATATTTTAAATTCTTTATCTGAAATTTCCATGAGTTCCCTTATATTCTGTGTGGAGGAAGAGGAGTTATTCTTTTCCATTAGAGGAGAGATATTTTCTTGGTTTCTCATATTTCTTGTGCCTCTGAGGTGGTTTCTGGTCATCTGATGGATTATATGTTTTTTTCCTAGTTTTTGGAGTTTAATCTGAGCAATTAGAGGAATGCAAAAAGAAGTGACCTGCAGTCTGTAAACAGTACCGTTTTTCTCCATTTGCACAACTGATTCAATAAAAATTGAAGATTACTCTGACCCTAAAAGTATTCAGATTTGGCTACTGAGTACCTAGTCCTGTCTAGAAAATCAATGTGTGGAGGCTGAGCAGAAAAGTGAGAAAGGTAGGGAGTTGCAGTTAGCGTAATGGCTATGTCTCTGGACTCCTATGTAGTCAACTGTAGTTTGAGTCCCAGACCCGGTGACTTAAACTCACGCCAGGCGTGTGTGTGTGTGTGTGTGTGTGTGTGTGTGTGCCCAAGATCCCAAGAGGAAAATGGAGGAGAAGGGATTACAGCGCGGCCACCCCCCTGGGGGGTGATTTCTCGCTTTCTGTCTCTGTCTTTCTGGCGAGCACATGCGCCCTATAGCAAAAACCTCTCCCAAAAAAAGGAAGAAAAAAAAGTGAGAAAGGAAAAGGAATAGAAAAAAAAAGAAGAGAAAAAACA